ACTGTAAAGTGTTGGTAGGTTGCAATTTACCCGGCGAAATCAAAGCCAAAATTCGATTATGAACTGGTTGCCTACATCAGGTTGAGTTTTCATCATCATATTCGATTACTGTAAACTTATTGTTTTACGTTAAAAACATTTATATATGTACGGTGTCAGACTTCAAGTAACATTTTCAATGAAAAGAAACCAGTAACTTATATAATGCTTTCTGACCTCAAACCATACAACCTGTTTTTAGTGCAAGTACTACTGTACTAAATTATTGCTGTTCAGTCGCGGAAGAGAAGGTCTCAGAGATATCGCGTGCAAAGAGCGTGCGAACTAAGCACGTGGTCACAGCAAGCCAATTAAATGATGCAATCTTATTGAACTTTTCATCAGATTACTTCTCTTTTGAAAGAAAACGTGAGGTTTGATTAAATATAATAAATAGTCAGTATCAGTATTACCTATGTCAGAATTGTTTGTTTTTCTATTGTCTTATTTTTGACATACCTTGGGCAAAGTTAAGTGGTGTAATGTCATGACTTTGTGGGTTATAGGGCCCTTTATAACATAACGTGTCACTCACCACAAGAATAAAATAAAAATGTCTTGCATTTAATCTCTCTAATAATTGTTGAGGTTTCATGTGCTTTCGAGTAATTTTAGATAGAAAATGTATTGAAACAGCAGAAACATATAATTAGTCAATATGAAGCAATACATGACTCCATTCGTTCCAAACAGTATAAAAACAAGTCAGTAATTTGAGAGATAAAACCGTGACGCATGGTGGTTTGAGGGATAAGACGGTGACGCATGGTGGTTTGGGGGATAAAACCGTGATGCATGGTGGTTTGGGGGATAAAACCGTGACGTATGGTGGTTTGAAAGATAAGACGGTGACGCATGGCGGTTTGAGGGATAAGACGGTGACACATGGTGGTTTGAGGGATAAGACGGTGACTCATGGTGGTTTGAAGGTTAAGACCGTGACGCATGGTGATTTGAGGGTTAAGACCGTGACGCATGGTGGTTTGAGGGTTAAGACGGTGACTCATGGTGGTTTGAGGGTTAAGACGGTGACGCGTGGTGGTTTGAGGGTTAAGACGGTGACGCGTGGTGGTTTGAGGGTTAAGACTGTTGTGACGCATGGTGGTGGTCTGAGGGTTAAGACTATTGTGACGCATGGTGGTTTGAGGATTAAGACTGTTGTGACGCATGGTGGTTTGAGGATTAAGACTGTTGTGACGCATGGTGGTTTGATTGTTAAGACTGTTGTGACGCATGGTGGTTTGATTGTTAAACTGTTGTGACGCATGGTGGTTTGATTGTTAAAACTGTTGTGACGCATGGTGGTTTGATTGTTAAAACTGTTGTGACGCATGGTGGTTTGATCGTTAAGACCGTGACATATGGTGGTTTGAGGAATTGCTAGTGTAAATTTATCACTTGCTTGTTACTTGACCAAAGGAGACTGGACCATGTCAAAGTTCAGGGAAACAAGAAATAATACAATAGTGTTTCGTTTTTATCTCTCCATTAGTTGCATAAATAGACCAAAGCAGATGTTAAAAGTATGCTGGTTGTGCATGACACCGTTGCATGCTTTATCTGAAACATCGTACACACCTTACTATGCACTGTTTGGATTACTTCACCTTCAGATATGAAATGAAACTTATTCTGTCATATCACCGTGATTAGACAGTCAACACACTGGGTTTCAGTCAATCAAAATGTATTGATTTAATGGTTAAAATATTTTACCGATAACAGATAGCGATAGCACGAATAAAAACTGACGCTTGTTTTCCCACCACACACGTTCTATTGAACACAGGTATTTGAAGAAAACACAACGTAATACAATAAATTGACTTAAACTCCAATAGCGGTCTACTGTTCAGTGCTAAACGTTTTAGTGAGAAAACCTTTAAACAAAGATAGTTAAGGACTCGAAAACAGCAAATCAAGCGTACTGAAATTAAGGCTTAATTAAAGAAAGTTGTTCTCGCCTAAGAAAATTGTTACACCGTAAACACATGTCACTGATGCATCAGTTAATCGCAATGAACTGTTTATTTAGGCGCAAAGCTACATAGTGAGCCTTCCGCGCGGAAATCGAACCTGGAATTTTAGCTTTATAAGCCCATAAGCTTACCGCTGAGCTGGAACGGAAATATACATTACCTTGCGCAGAAACAACTCCCAAAATATACGTGTAAATGTAAATAGGACGTTCAGTGGAATCTGTTGTATTCGTTTCTCTTTCGAAAAATAATCACAGGAAAAACAAACGCGGTAACACTTGCAATAGGATAATTTTGAGGCCAAATGTTAAAGGCACGTTAAAGGAAAAAATATGAGTACATTCTCCATTGAAACTTGAATTGATTTTTTATGTAAAAGATAAGTGGCATAAACTCATTGGTATTAAAAGTAATCTTTGATTTTTGAAAAACTACTTATATATATTAAATAACGCAGAGTTGAATTATATATATCGTCAATAGTTATCCGGATACTTCAGATACCATGCACTGACTGACTGTCTTAGGCGATAAGAGCGGGACTAGACTATGACGTCATAGTGCCCCTGACTTGGAAGGGACACCAGAGGGTTGCTAAGGGATGGAAGTGAGAGAGGCATCACAGTTCGAGTGTTATTAACCACAGGGTGTGTTGCTATAGGTGGCTGCTGTTACTAGGCAGATAGTTCAATAACCTTTATGCGTAAAACCACAAGACATTTGTATTTTATATATCAATTATAGTTTCAATATACGTCATCAACACTATAGTCTATATTTAATTATATGTCTTAAAAGTTACAATTAAAACTATATTTTGAATGAGACAGTTAATATAGCAGTTAGTAATTAATTTTCATGTGTTATGAAAGTTTTGAATAATTTACATTATTTTAAGGATATAACTCTTATTATAATAAGCTGATGTTTTGTATTACATATGTAAAAAGTGTTATCTCAAATAATGTCGTAATTTATCTAGTATTTGAACTAGCAGATATATCATAGCCAATAATTTGCCTTACATACTTTTACAATTATCCAACACTTTATACATAAAACACTTCACTAATTCATTAGTTTTATCATTTTTACTTCTCTAATTTATATACATACAGTTGTCTGTCCTGAAAGTTGCATCCCATGTAACGTGTTGTTTTCATAAATAAAACCCTTACTTGAACGAGACAATTGCATCATGGTACCTGATGATAACAGAACCTTGTCGGAAACGTTGTACATTTGCTGTTATGTTAAAGTTTTTCTTCATTACCCATACAAGCCGTCTCCAAGCAATACATATATAGTCTCAAAGTGGGTTCCTCGTCATCAAAAATATAGACTACAGTGTTGATGACATATGTTGAAACTATAATTGACAATAAAATACAAATGTCTCGTGGTTTTACGCATAATAGCTATTGAACTATCTGCCTACAATAATACTGTCCATAATAATGCTGTCTGCCTAGTGACAGCATCCACCTATAGCAACACACCATGTGGTGAATAACACTCCAACTGTGATTTCACCCTCACTTTCATCCCTTAGCAAGCCTCTGGTGACACCTCGAAGTCATTATTATTATTAATATTGAACGGTAACAATTAAAAAGGTCATTTTGACAAGATTGTTCACCTTATTTTCTTTCATAGTTTGCAGCAGTTTACAATAGTATGTTAAGCTCGTAGCTTCTTCCATTTAATTTGTCGCTTTTATATCCATTGAAATCATTTATTCCATGATACATTTATAGTGGGACAAAATGAATTAGGGGTCAGAAAATGATTTGCAAGTATTTTCAAAGTTACTGAAAAATTAACGAAAGTGCAACTTATGTTTTCGTGTTGTAAAGATGTCTCACCTTCTATTTTGGGAATGTCTGCTGCAGCACCATGTTTCTGTCCACTTTAATAGTGAGTATGTTTATACAACGTAGGCTAATCATGACTTTAATTAAAAACGTTTAGTGGATAGTATTACAGAACATCGTTTAGAATAACTTTTTCCATTGTATTCTATGGCCACATTACAAATTGCAACAGTTTAATTGTAAGTTGAAATATTCTTATAGTAGTAGTGACCATGTCTAGCAAGTAATAAGAAAGCACATTTTATATAAACCAGCACGGTCAGTTGGTGATAGAGGACAAAATATATTTATGTCAATGTAATTAATCCATTCTAAGTGAGAATGTTATTACAACTGTTCCAAACGGGTTGTCACACTTTGCAAAAAATCGGAATTTTTTTGGCATTTTTGTTTCTGAATTTTCATTTACACTCAGGTTTATGTTGTTGTTCCTAAAGTGTCATTTATTTACCTCATTATATTTTTGACTAACATGCACAAGTTCTTTCTTTCCCAAATAAACAGTTTCTCGGATAATATGTTCTCAACAGCCTCTTTCGGTAAATGGTACAAGTAACAACGGAACATAGGTTAATCTTAATAAACTGTTTCTTGTATAATATACTATTGACAACCTCTTTCAATAAATAGCACAACAATGGAACATAGGTTAATTTTCACATTTGTTCCTCCATCTGATTATATAAATAGCTACAGTAGAGTTATCTTTGCTAGCCATCCCTAATTTTAAAATGATAGACCAGTAGAAAGACAGCTAGCCGAGAAAACCCACCACAAACTTGTGGACTTCTATTGTGTGACCAGTTAGTATAATTTCACAGTCACCCTTATAAATGCACCCTCAGTTCCCCAAAGTGTAGAGCTCGATTTTACGGCAACTATGGCAAACCAAGGACCCTCAATTTCATAGTCCTATGAGCTAACCGTTAGACCATGCCCGGCCCAGTTATTCATCAAGGATGTTCAGAATATCTGACATGTTTTCTAGCTCAAGGAAACTGTTTTGATCACACAGTTTCAGTATGCTTATATATGTGTATGTGTGTATTCGTTTTATTTCATAAAAATATGTTTTTATATTTTTAAGAAATCTATTTTTTGCTCCTAGGAGAAACACTACAACATGCTACAGTTCGAGCTGAAATCTGAAAACATATCTCTGGCGTATGTCTTTTCCAAAATGGAAGCAGCACTAACAGATCTGCCCATTGGAGAGTACTCAGTTTGTCAGAACACTTTGGACAATGTAAGTTGTTTTGGTTCTCAGTAAAGTTTGGATTGTGGTAATAAAACATTATCAATAGTTGTGGATATGTTGCTGTCTACAGTTAGTTAAAATTAAACTTATGGGCATATCGAGTTAAAATACGAACCTAACCTCTCTTTTAATCTTTTCTGTTTACCTCATGGTATGTTTCTTGATATTACAGTTGTAGTGACATATGAAATATTTGTCTGTTTTAAAGGAAATGTGCCTCATGGTACGTTTCTTGATGTCATAGTTGTAGTGACATACGAAATATTTGTGTCTGTGTGGAAGGAAAGGTGCCTCATGGTATGTTTCTTCATGTTACATTTGTAGTGACATATGAAATATTTGTGCCTGTGTTGAAGGAAAGGTGCCTCATGGTATGTTTCTTGATGTCATAGTTGTAGTGACATACGAAATATTTGTGTCTGTGTTGAAGGAAAGGTGCCTCGTGGTATGTTTCTTGATGTCATAGTTGTAGTGACATACGAAAATATTTGTGTCTGTGTTGAAGGAAAGGTGCCTCATGGTATGTTTCTTGATGTCATAGTTGTAGTGACATACGAAATATTTGTGTCTGTGTTGAAGGAAAGGTGCCTCATGGTATTTTTCTTGAATAGGTATCAGTACTTATCATTTAATGTGTTTAGCCTAGTTGCACATATTCAAACAAACAAACAAACATAAAAAAACGAAAATATCATTATAAAATGCTGGCTGTTTGACATTTCATTCTTGTTGATAGACATTCAATGAATCTTATTGTAAATAGTTTAGTTGTTTTTTTAGTAGGCCTTCAGTAAACTTTATTGTAAATAGTTTAGTTGGTTTTTAGTATGCTTTCAATAAATCTTCTATTAAATAGTTTAGTTGATTTTAGTAGGCCTTCAGTAAACTTTCTTGTAAATAGTTTAGTTGTTTTTAGTAGGCCTTCAGTAAACTTTCTTGTAAATAGTTTAGTTGTTATTTTAGTAGGCTTTCAATAAATCTTCTTGTAAATAGTTTAGTTGTTTTCTAGTAGGCCTTCAGTAAACTTTCTTGTAAATAGTTTAGTTATTTTTTAGTATGCTTTCAATAAATCTTCTTGTAAATAGTTGTTTTCTAGTAGGCCTTCAGTAAACTTTCTTGTAAACTAGTTTAGTTGTTTTGTAATAGGGCTTCAGTAAACTTTCTTGTAAATAGTTGTTATTTTTAGTAGGCTTTCAATAAATCTTTTTGTAAATAGTTTAGTTGTTTTTTAGCATGCTTTCAATAAATCTTCTTCTGAATAGTTTAATTGTTTGTTTGTTTTTTGCACATCTCTAGAAATTTTTGTCACTAGATTATTGTCTTTTTGTTATTTTTAGGTCTTTATAAACTTCGTGAAACAACAAAGTGACCGCTCTGTCCTATCGGCCAGCTCTAGACAACAAACTTGCCAAGACTAGTTGGTTTCCAGTTTTAGCAGTTACGGTAAGAAACAAGGCAATCATTGTTTTATGTATAGTTTTGTTTATTTTTGTGAGTTTATGTATAGCTAAAAGGTTTAAAATATGAATATTTTCTATGACGTAGAACGGCCTGGTTAAAGACTATTGTTATGCTTGTATCGGATATTCTCGTATATCATCCAAGGACTAGCTGTCCATAATTTTTAATTGACAGAGTAGCTAGAGTGAATTGGAAATTGTTTGTCCATTGTATAATGTACCCAAAGTACAGAGTGCAGTATTACTGTAACAGGACTATAGACCTGTTACGTCTCCGTTTGTTAATTAATTTTCCGTAACTTCGTTCCGACGAAACTTTAGCGACACAAGTATTTA